TCATCATCATCATCATCATCATCATCATCATCATCATCATCATCATCTATTAAATTTGTATGCCCCCTGGCTCTCAATGACTCTTTAGTAGCACAGACAAAGCAAGTGGAATAGATGGAGAGGAAGTTGCTTCAGAATGGAAGCTCCTCGTCCTCAGAAACAATACGATATACTGAAATTTTGGGTAAAAGCAGGCCCTGGGTTATGATACCATTTAATCACACAGAGGCTCATCCAGTCGTTTACATGTCATGTGGGGGGACAGACAAAACAACACAAGTGAAACTTTCTTTGGATCAGCTAATGTTTTTTTTTATAAGCAGTTTCCACATCATGCAAACCGTAACATAGCTTGTGGCATAGTGATTTGTTGAAACCTAGCTATTCTGGTTTCTAAAGCATAATTTGTGGCTAAGTACATGTGAATCCAGCCAATTCTGGCTCAGTCAACCCATGCTAATTCCCAAAATTGTCCCTTAGCCCAGGATTGAAGGAATTGGCCTACACCAATAGTTCTGCCTAAAAGATTTGCACACTGCATTCTGAATCCCAATAGCCAGAGGTAATTTGATTTTAATCAGATATGGTTGTCAAATTAACTTAAAGCTCTTCCTGACCTACCAACCTCAGGGCATTTTGGTTGAAGAATATTAAAACTAAGGAGTGAGAGACAGCTTTCTAATACGTTCTAACTCAGCATTTCTAAGCCTGAGCAACTGCCAAATGTGTAGATTTCAAATCTCAGAATTCCCCAGCCAACCTGGCCATTGCTGGCAACTTTAGAACTTGAAATTCAGACATCTGGAAGTTGTTCAGATTGGGACATGTCCTCATCTCCCAACAAATGTGCTGTCTGATACTTTCTTTGGTGTCCTTCAGGCTCCATGCCTCAACAGATAGATGATAGATAGATATAGATGATATAGAGATAGATAGAAGATAGATAGAGATTAGATATATAGATGATTGATTGATAGACAGACAGACAGACAATAGAATAGACAGAGATAGATGAAAGCCTGTGTGTCGCAAAGTTAAATACCAGTGTTACGCATAATATATGGTGGGCCCCACACAGATCCTATGGTTGGAGCCAAGTGCTTTCATTAGAAATGTTCCAGTTATCCAGAGGAGGGGAAAACCCAAGGATAAACTGAACTAGTAGCATATTCCGAAGTGGTTGGATTTGGAAACAAGTTTGCCTTCTATTAAATGTTTTTTGCGATTATCCACGCCCATCATGGCAACTATTCTGTAACACTGGACTTGCCACAAAATTCCAAGTTTGTCCATTTAAACAGAATGATTGAGGACTTCTGTTCTAAAAGTTGGAGTCTCTCTCCTCAACTGAGGATGTGTTCTCTATTTCCTCAGCTCCTCTCCAGCTGTTTAAAGTCTTTCCTTGTTTTACGTAAATCTCACTTTTCTTTTCAGCAACCTGCCCAAGGCCTCTTTCACCTGGCCATTCCTCAGGCAGTAAATCAAGGGATTTAGAAAGGGGGTAATGGTGGTGTAGAAGATTGTTACTAGCTTAGTGATATCTGATCGACTTTCTCCTCTGGGAGTTAAGTAAACCCCTGCCACTGACCCATAGAAAAGTGTGACCACCACAAGATGGAACGAGATGGTGGAGAAAGTCTTCCTAAGGCTATTTTGGCTAGATTTTTGCATCCGTGTGAGAATCACTATGCTGTAAGAAAGCACGACAAAGAGGAGGTTGACTATAACCACAGTGTTCATAAACACTTGACAAATAAAAGGAGTCTTTCCTAATGGTGGACATGCCAAGGATAGAATTGGTCCAGGATCACATAGTAAATGGTTGATGATGTTTGAGCCACAGAAGGACAACTTGGACATTAGTATCACAGGGACAATGTACCACAGAAAGCCAAGGACCCAACAAGTAGCCACCAGGGCATAGCAGATATTTTTGGACATTAGTTGCAGGTAACGCAATGGATGGCAGATGGCCAAGTAGCGATCCAAAGCCATAGCTGAGAGGAAGAAGCATTCTGTGCTGCCGAGTGAGAAGAAGATGTAGAACTGGAGGAAGCAGACATGGAAAGAGATGTTCCCCTTTGAAGTTACCAGGTCATAAAGCATACGGGGCATGGTTGTGCTCACATAACACATCTCCAGCCAGGAAAAGTGGCTCAGCAAGATGTACATCGGAAGCCGGGCCAGGTGGGAATCTAGGGACACCAGGATGATAATTATGATGTTCTCTGTCAAAGTCAGGATGTAGAGAACAACAAAAAAAATAATGAGCAGGTGATGTATCTGTGGCTCACCTCCAAAGCCCAGCAAAATGAACTCTTGAATGTTGCTCTTATTAGCCAACTCCATCTGAAATGCAATAAAAGGATCCTCATTACATACCAGAAAAAAGTTTCACCTTCCCATCTTTCTGTTTCCACTGAAAGGAGAGGCTGAGCAACCATGCCACTTGAAGCCTGAATGGGAAGCCATCTGAACTCTCTTGGAGGACTCTAACTCAACATAGCTAGTCTTCCCTCCTCAGCCTTTGTAGGAATAAGCACAGATGGTAATGGCATTAGAAGATGTGTCTATGCATATATCTACATATGTCCAGGGGACAACTTGTTTTGTCCTCTAGAGTTTTTCAAATGATGGATATAATGGAAAATAGTGGATGCTTTTCACAATTATATCTTCTTCCCTATTTTCCCATATAATGGGATCCACATTTTCTTGAATGAGCCTAAATCATTTGGTTCTATGGATACCCATTCAAATGTATCTCTCCCAGTTTTGACCCCTCCCCCCCGCCCCCCGTTGACTTTACATTGAAAATACTTGCCGGTATCTGATGCATCTGCAAAATATTGATCTGTCTAGCTGAAGGCTCATCTCAAATGCAGGATCAAGATTTGGAGGAACAGATGATGGTTCATTGTATGCTCAGCTATGGTAGCAGGCAGGAGTGTGAGGTGTTATCCAAAGACAAAATAGTCCTGAATCTGAAATTATGCTTGAAGGCTGGCTTGAAGTATTTGGACTGGGTGTGTGTCCCTCAAATACAAACTCAAAGTAATATGCCTTTGGAGTCCAATTAACTCCTTCCCGTTTAGGGAACTATTCCCAAAGATGTTAGTTTTTTTCTTCTGGGTTTTGCTTTTGCTTAATATCGGGCAAACAAACCAATAGAGTGCATTATGGAGGAGTTGTTTGCAAAGACCTAATGGTATATTAGAAAAATACCCTCGTCCAAATACTTTGGTCACCTTCTATCATATGGAAAAATGTCTTGCCCATGGAAAACTAGAATGTGAAGGAGAAAATATAGCTAGATCTACGTTGTTGCCTAATTTGTTTTCTTAGGGAATCATGCAAGGGATGTTCATTCCATTTCTTTCTGGTCATGTATGTAGGAAATGTTGTGGGGCCAGGTTAAAGCCCCTAACCCAAGTACATCTTCCCAGGGAAACCAAAGTTCAGGCTCAGCTATATAGTGTCAAACTGGGTAACTACCCCATTAGAAAAACACTTTTCCAGGAAAACTATACTGTCAGCTTCGCCATAGAACACTTAGAAGGCCAAAGAATACTGATAAACTGGGAAAGGATACTGGAAGATGAGCAGAGCTCTGGGAAAGCAAAATAAAGCAATTCCCTAGAAAGAAACTACAGGTGGTCCTCATTTAATGACCACTCATTCAGGGACCGTTCAAAGTTATGATGGCGCTGAACGAGTGGTACTTACAACCAATCCTCGAAGTTCTGGCCATCCCAGCACCCCTGCGGTCACATGATCGTGATCTGGGCACTTGGCAACTGGCTCGCACTTATCATGGTTGCAGTGTCCTGTGGTCATGTGATCACCACTTGTGACCTTCCCTGCCAGCTTCTGAGAAGCAAAGTCAACAGGGAAGCCGGCAGGGAAGGTTGCAAATCACTCTGGTAAGTCACTCACATCCTCCCCCACCCAAGAGCAGCCACCTCTGACCCCACCAGGCTCGTGCTGTGCCTCATAGGCCACTCATGCACTGTCCTCTGCCCAGCAGTAGCCAAACCTAGCCCTGCTGTGTTCGCACTGCACTTTGCATTGCACCTCACCTGCCTGCCAGCCTGCTGGTGAGCCACCCGGGACTCACTTAACGACGGCAATGGGGAGTGCCGGGATTGCTGCCTCCAAGTGATGCAGTCATATGACATTGTACTTTATGACCGCATCGCTTAGCGATGGAAATCCCGGTCCCAATTACTGTCCTTAATGGAGGACTACCTGTATGTTCAGTGAATAACTGCCCCTTTGTTCTTTCGAAGCCCTATTGCCTTTGTAGTCATGCCCCATAGTATTTGCTTGTTTAGTCAACTTATACCCCACCACAATCTAATGTAGTGTTTCTCAACCTTGGCCACTTTAAGACCTGTGAACTTCAACTCCCAGAATTCCCCAGCAAGGGAAGCAAGGCTAGGGAATTCTAGGAGTTGAAGTCCACAGGTCTTAAAGTGGCCAAGGTTGAGAAACACTGATCTAGTGACTCTCTGTGGCTTACAGAGTATACAGTATAACAACAGTTAAAATATCCACAGGGCGACTGAAACAAATCATGGCATTGGAAAAACCCAAATGAATACAGAAGAAAGAACCCCCAACAAAACAGCTTCAGGCCCCTTTACCTCCTGGAAGCGTGTGCAACCCTTTGAGGTACAGCAGGTCATGAAACGTGCATTGCAAAGATTACAGGAATGTTCCTTTATTATTGTGGGGTATTATAACTGAACTTGAAAGCCTGCCAGAGTTTCCTTCTGCCCCCTCTGATACCAAACAAAATCAAACCAGGGTTATTTTGCTCTTGTTCCTTTCCCCAGGACTGAGTCATCTTTTCTTGTCTCTTCATGACTCCTGCATACTTTCACAAAAATTATCTCCACATTCCTATAAAGTGTGGGACTACATCCAGCTGCTTCTGTAAGATCTAGATCCGTGTTTCTCAACCTTGGCAACGTGAAGATGTATGGACTTCAACATGCTGGCTGGGGAATTCTGCGAGTTGAAGTCCACACATCTTCAAGTTGCCAAGGTTGAGAAACTGATCTAATAGGTTGGACCAAACCTTTATAGAGCAGGTGGGTCTGCAAATCCCACCAACCAAGCCATGAAGAGCTTTATGAGTCAACACAAATGCCTCACATTGTACCCCCAAACCAACTGGCAATTAATTCAAATTTGGAATTTGCTACAAGATATGGTGCTGGTACCATCTAGGCTGACTTCAGAAAAGGGTTGGAAAAGAATAATGTAGAAATGATGAAGTTCTTATGTAGAAATAGATCAACTTTTATTGATTTTTGAAGCAGAAGATGAACAAGTGAAAGAATAAAATGTGCTAAAAACTTTGGGTATAATATACAAATGGAACTGGCAGAATATGTGGATGAAAGGATTGAAATTTACACTGTGTTATAATCTTAAAGAGAATTTTTATAAAATCATGTGTCTTTGGTATTTGTCATGAGAAAAATTATCTAAAACTTATAAAGGTACTTCAAATGTATGTTGGAAATGTGAACAACAAGAAGGGACTTTTTTATCATGTTTGGTGGACATGTAAAAAAGCTAAAGAATTTTGAACTCAAATAAAAATTCAGAAGAGACTAATATACATTTGAAACCAGAGACATTTCTTTTGGGATTGATGGATAAACATTGGAAAAAAACCAATGGAACTTCATTTTTATATATGATAACAGCAGCAAAATTTTATTATGCACAATGGTAGAAAGATTTGACATTACCTACAGTGGAAGAACGGATGAAATTGATGGAACTGGCTGAGTTGGTGACATTGACAGGTTTGATTAGAAAAAAGACTGATAAATTTTAATGCTGACTGGAAACCCCTTTTGGACTTTTTTTTTGTGAAACAGAAAATGAAATCATGATATATGGATTTGATGACTAGAAATAACAATAAACAATAGAAAAAATGTGAGTCATGTTGTAATCTTAGAGTAAGAGCTTAAGGCAACTTTATATGCATATCTGCTGTAAAAGAAAGTCAGAAGTATTTTCTTTTGTATTTCTTTTTCTTTCTGCACTTTTGATCTCGTTTTCCTTTTCATTCTTTACCTTTTTCTCTTTTCTGCTTTCTAATTGTTAGTTCTTGTCAGTTTTTATCTCTTTGTTTTAAAAATCTAATAAAGTTATTTAAGAGAAAGAAAGAAAGAAAGAAAGAAAGAAAGAAAGAAAGAAAGAAAGAAAGAA